AGGGACAAACTGAGGACTTTCTAAATGGGTATTGCATTATCCTAGGATTTTCACAATACTATAGGAAGTTGTGAATCTTTTTAATACATCAAAAGATAGAGGAGGGGGGTCAGGGATAGAAATTGGGACAGGAGAAAGAAGTTTTTCTCTCTTTGCCAGCTTAGGAACTGGCCCTATAATAAGAATAGTCAGGTGAACTGTGCCATAAATTCAATGACCTTTCAGACCCACCTTCCATAACTCTGAGGATACTTGATAATCAATTGAGAAATAGCATACAGTTCATATTAGACATTTTGAAACTTCTTTTCTAATTTTAATAAAAATGTCTACCCATTGTGAGAAATTTGGAAAGTAGAGAAAAGCAGAAAAAGAATGTAAAACCACTAACAATCACATCACCCAGAAAAAACACCATTAAAATGTACACATTTCTTCAACACAACATTACACAAAATGAGACAGGATAATATTTTTTTAAGTGGTGAGTTCTTTCCCTTCCATACTGTATTTATACAGTAGAACCAGTACAATGGTCAATCAGGTCAATCTGGCCGGCTGTATTAGAGGTGAAACAGTTGTAGGACAATAGCTACCTGGTTATCCCAATAACCAGAGCCTCAGACTGACTCCCAAGGTGGACCACGACACAACTGTCTCTCCTGCCAGTGCTTGAACAACTGAGACTCATTCCTGGGTGAAAATTTCAGCCCACATCCCTGTTCTTCAGAGCTCCTGCTCAGTTATGAGTCACTGTCACCTCTTCTCTCAGGGGAGTTCTGATTGTGAGGAAAGCAGCGTTACCACAGGAGCGAAGGAGTATGAGGGAGGACAGCTCTATGCAGGTAACTACAGTCCGAGGAGTAGCTAAAGGTCACCTTGGTTCAGCCTAACAGATGAAAATGTTCCCTATCTTTCCATTTTTGATGTCTTTATCCCCTCCCAAGCCTTCATTTCCTTGGAGACAGAACCAGAGGAAATCAGATTATTTCATCTCAGAAGAAAAAAAGAAGTTGTTCTCTCCCATGTTCCAACTCTTCAAGTCATTCCTGGAAACTACGGTGAAGAGAGTGAGGCATTCACTTTTGTCTCATAATATAAGGGGATGCCAAAACTTCCTAAAATCGATCGAAAATATTTTAATACAGCATTTTGAAAAACAAAAATCAACGTAAAACAATCTATCATTTAAAAAGATGTCAAAGTTTAAAATAAAGACAGGATCAGTATTACTGATTTTCCTTTGCCTCCCATGAAGTTTGGCAGGGCATTGTCACTGGTCTTATTACCACCCCACCACCACCTCCCACACACCCCCCACCCCCCCGCTGACCCACATGCCCGTACCATCAATGACTTTGACATTGGATGTTTACCAAATTTTTCAAAATAAAATAAACATGCTAAGGGCAAATAGACATACATACAGACACAAAACACAAAATGATCAGTTGAGGAGGGAGGGAAGAAAAATTTTTATTCTAAATAATTTTGCCTCAGAGCAGCTAACATTGTAACCAAATTCTGATGTGACAATTTGCCCTTACACAGACTGTTGATCAATCGATACTATTTAGTGCCTAATAGTCCATAAGTCACTGAGATTTAAGTAATACAATTATGAAGGTGTAGTAAATTGGGGAGTTTAAACACAGCCTTTCTACTTGGTGAGCAACCAGTGTATCAATTGATGGATCTTAACTCCAACCCAGATTCTTGCCATCAGAGGCACACTTAGTGCTTTTACAGCCCTTGATCTAGCAAGGATTATGAATTCTTTTCCTATGAATAATTATTCATTGTCATGGATTCTGTGTTTTACCACCCAAATCTCCCTTCATGAGCTGAAGGATTAATTCCCCCCAGCTCTTGGGACTTTGTTGTCTGACATTACTCAGCTGCCAATTCTTTTCAGAATTGTCATGCAGAAGAAGGCCACCTTACCCATGGTCACACTTCCCGCTGGGAGCAGCCTGCATCCAGTGACTGGCTGATGACTGATCCAGCTCCCTTACCCCAGTTCAAAGACTATACCAGCTTCAGCACTCCTAGCAGGGTCAGCTGAGGCCTTCTCCCTCTTCCCAACCCTGCTTATTTCTCTTCCCCCTTCTGCTGTTGATCCTGAGAACATTCCTAACTAAATTTCCTGCATGCAAATCTCCATCTGGGAGTTTGCTTTCCAATGAACCCAACCTGCTCCACTTATGGGACTTCCTATCATTGTGCTGTGTTGGTTAGATCAAGGTTTAACACTTGCCATATGAAGAAACAAAACTGATTCAGACAGTAAGTTCTGCTAATCATCAACACTAAAATTATTGGCACCCCCCACTGGGATATCAATAAAGACATCCCAGTATCTTTTCAAGTCTTACCTTTAATGCTACCATATCTATATGTTTATTCCAAATGGCTCTTTAAATATTTGCAAAGGCCTCATGAGTTCAGGTTTCAGGAGATCAAAGAAGATTTTTAAGTGAATTTTATCTGAGTTGAGGTTCTTTCTGATGCAACTTCATGGTGTTTGGATCTATGCTTGTGATCCTCTCCTCCCCTTATAACTTGATAATCAAAGTAGAAGTTAGGGTGGTGGTGACTAGGATGGAGAATAGAAGTGTAAACCATCTACTTATTTCAACTTGAATCAGTTTAAATTGAGATGTATTCAATTTCATCAGCTTTTTTCTGGCTCTCTCTCTAAGAAGTTGTTGTTGTTGTTGTTGTTGCTGCTGCTGCTGCTGCTGTTCCTACTTGGAGGGCTTAAAAGAGCCCAGAGGAGGTGATGCAAAGAAAGTAGGATCTGGATCATAAGAGGGGTCTAGTCAAACTAACAAAACATGGCATAGGTGGGTTAGAAAACCAGAGTCATTACCAGGAAGCACTAAGGCAATAGCCAGAATAGTGCCAGGCATCTATCCAAAGGTAGATAAGAAGACAAGAGAACAAGAAGCCAGGCTGGTCCTTGAAAAAACATTGAACAGAATCATGTATCTGGCATAATTTAAGGCATGTGGTTCAAAACCAAGTGAAAGGTAAACAGGTGCTGGAGCTTCCTTTGTCAGGTTGCCTGGTGCATACAACCCATATTATCAGCATGGCAATTTCAAATCTGTCCCGGACAGTCTCTCAATCTTCATTCCCTTTTCCCTGAACCCATCTCCTCAAAATGTCACCCACTGAAAATGGGGACTGGCAGGTGACGAATGTGATAGCAAAGAAAGGGTCACAAGTCCTCTTAGATGTCTAACCCTAACCACACATTCATTCCTTCTTCACACACATTTTCCCATACCAAAAGAAGCTGCTGCCCCACACACCGCATTCTAAGGCATCCTATGGTCACATGACAATAAAACCCTCTTGCCACATTAAGTGCAATGTACCAGAGAACAGCTTCTGGGAAAAATCAGTGTTCTCCCCTGCTGATAGGATGGAAGCAGCATGACAGGCAGGTCTGCACCGAAATCCTATTTTAGCCTACGGTGGAGCTGACGGGTTGGGAAAAATGGAAAGCGGAATTCCCTCAGTCCAGATTATATCCTCTTTTGTAGCATCCCTGATGAGATCATGCCTAGAGAGGCAAGAGTGTGACTCATCCAGGATGCAGAATGTAGGGCTCATGCCCCAAGATGGTGACTGACAATATAAAGTTATAGGTTACTTTGTTGTTGTTGTCATTGTTTTTAAATTGTGTCAGGTTGGGACGCCTGAGTGGCTCAGCCATTGAGCGCTTGCCTTTGGCCCAGGGTGTGATCCTGGAGTCCCAGGATTGAGTCCCACATCGGGCTCCCTGCATAGAGCCTGCTTGTGTCTCTGCCTCTCTCCCTCTCTGGGTCTCTCATGAATAAATAAATAAATAAAATCTTTAAAAAACTAAAAGTGGTCCAAGTCCCTGCTCCACTGTGTCGGGTATACTTGGACCCAAGCTCCAGCTTGTAAATAAACCCTTGTGTGTTTGCATCGGTGTCAGCTCCTTGGTGGTTTCTTGGATACATAATCTTGGGCACAACATTTGGGGGCTCGTCCGGGATCCGAGAAACCCCCAAGACCCCATCCGGAGGGTTTCAAATCCACCTCGGGGTCCAAGTCCCTGCTCCGCTGTGTGGGGTATACTTGGAACCAAGCTCGAGCTTGTAAATAAACCCTCATGTGTTTGCATCGGAAAAAAAAATTAAAAAATAAAAAACTAAAACTAAACTAAAATAAATTGTGTCAGGTTCTAATCCTAATTTTGAGATGCCACAGATGAACCCCAAATATCTTAAGGTGTCGCTAAAATTCTTCAAAATAAAATTTGTCTTACTTTTCTTCAATTCAAAAACACTTCTCTAAATAAATATAAATAAATAAATAAATAAATAAATAAATAAATAAATAAATAACTAACTCTCTAGGCTACATGAGAATTTTACAAAAGGGAGCCAACTCTGACCTGGGGAATAGCTCCAAAGTAAACCAGTACCTGCAGTTCCTTCCATATTGCTGTGCCTATCATTCTGGATTCTTAAAAGATTAGGAACCACTAGCCTAAAGTTTCCAAAGTGCAGGTAGATCCCTTCCCAAGTGACAGCCACAAAGCAAACACTGGATTGCACCCTATCTAAAGAAAAGAGAATGGTAAACTAAAAAAAAAAAAGAAAGAAAAAGAGAAAAGGGAAGAAAAGAAAAGAAAAAAAGAAAAGAGAAAAAAGAAAGAAAAGAAAAGAAAAGAAAAGAAAAAAGAAAAGAGAAAGAAAAGAAAAGAAAAGAAAAGAAAAGAAAAGAAAAGAAAAGAAAAGAAAAGAAAAGAAAAGAAAAGAAAAAACAAGTCTCCTAACCATGCTCCGTGATCTTGAGCAAGAGCTTTCCCTTCCCTGGGCCTCAGAGTTCTCTACCTTAAATCCAGAAGACTGTGAGCTCTCACAGCCCCCAAATTATGGGACCAGACGCTTGTCAAACCCCGCCCCAGACTACCTGGTGATCTCACTATTTCTGAGTCTGGCTCCTCCCAGAGACTCCTTCCCTTTCAATCCCTTCGTTAAATAGCTTCCCCTCCGATGGCTTTCGCTCTGGGAACAGCCCCTGCAGACCGGCGCCGGAGCGCGGGCGCCCCAGCATGAGCGCAGCCCTGCTCCCCCAGGCCGGGGCCGCCCGCCTGCGCCTCGGCCTCCTGCTTCTGCTCTCCTTGTCGCTCCACCGAGGCGCGGTCGCTAAAGAGCTGAAGTTTGTGACGCTGGTGAGTCGATGTGTCTCATCGTTTCCCCCCTTACAGCTGTTAGCTGCGGGGTGTGACAACCAAGTGTCAGGGTTCACTTAGCCCCTCCGGTAGGTCTGCTGTAGGTCTGCCGGGAGACCAAACTCAGAAAGTGAATAATCAAGTTTTGCAAGTTCCGCCAAACGCTTAACGTGTCCTGACAAAAAGGGTTTGCTTTGGTTATCTGTGTCTTTGCCCGTATTAGGTATTTATTCACTTACTTTAGAGCTGCCTTGAATGCATGTCCCTTCTGGCAGCCCCACGACCTGGTGGGGGGAGCCCAGCTGGCAGGCTCAGCACCGGGAGCTAACCGGGCTGCCATCGGTTTAATGATTGTTCTCAAACCAAAAACCAGTCATTTTCTGCATTAAGTGGGCTTCTTCCCCCTTTATTTATCGGGAACTTGGAAACTGTGTTTGTAAACAGTCTCTGAAGCATAAAAGTGAAACTAAATTGGATTTTTCGAGGGGGACTTCCTGATGCGTAGATCTGGTTGACAATTAAAATAATGTTTTTCTCCACCCTGTGTAGGGGTGGCGAGTTATGGGAAAGGAGGGGTGGCTGATGCGTGCGGTTAAGGAAAGAAAATGTACCCTAGGCATTGGCTTAAACATAGGTAGGAGGGGGGTTTGCAAAGTGAAGGTGATGAGGGAGCAGAAGGCTTGAAGACCAAGCAAGCTGATGACCCGAGACACCCCCAGGTGGGATATGTAGGACATTCCTCAGGCACTCCTGGCTGCCCTAAAGCCCAGGGGAGGAAAAACAAATGGTTAACTAACAGAGATCACAGTCCAGCAAGACAGGAGTCTCCCTCTCTTTACAAAATGTCTTAGTGATTTAGAAGAATAAAAGCATGCTTATCAATAACCTAACTTCCAGAAGGAAGCTCCCTACTGTCTTAATGCTAATGCCTTACTGGAGGAGAAAAACAACCTTGCAAGGCCTCCGGTATCTCCTAGGTCCTCTTTAGCATATGAAAGTTCTTTGGAAAACCTCCTTTTCCCCTACCCCCAATTCCCACGTGTATAATCAGCCACCCCTGACAGCCCTGGTGCAGCAGCTCTTTCTGCCCACAGGTCCTGTCCCCGTGCTTTAATAAAACCACCACTTTGCACCCAAGATGTCTCAAGAATTCTTTCTTGGTCGTAGGCTCCGGGCCTCACCCACATTCCAAAACTACATCAAAGGGGATTTAGCAATTTACCTATAAGTCCTGAAATGAATCCTTCTGGGCCTCTGGATTTCTCTGTGATTTGTTTGTTTTTGTTTTTAAAGATTTATTTATTCGTGAGAGATGCAGAAAGAAAGAGGCAGAGACATAGGCAGAGGACGAAGCAGGCTCCTTGTGGAGAACCTGATTAGGGACCTGATCCCAGGACCTCAGGACTTGATCCCAGGACCCCGGGATCAGCACCTGAGCCAAAACAGACGCTCAACCACTGAGACACCCAGGTGCCCCGTCTGTGATTTTCTCTGTATCCCTACTTCTCTTATTCTGTTTCACTCACCGGCTCCCTTACCTCTGCCCCTCTCTTTGTCTTTCACACCCGCTCTCTCAATCTCTTTCTCTTCCTCACTTTTTTTTTTATAGAGTGAAAATATGCTGATAAATAAGTAAATTTTCTTACTTAAGAACACTCAAAATTTATTTCTATAATTTGCAGGGAGGTCATCTTTTACTTAAAAAACATGAAGTTCCTATTTCCTCAGCTTCAGTATTTTATTTTTATATTAATATATATATATATATTTCCTCAGTATTCAGAACTCCTTTCTTTCCCTTCTAAGGAAAAAATTTATAACCATATGATTATGCAAATTATGATTATTAGTCCAGTAAATCTTTACTAGGTCATGAGTCAACAAATGAGAGACAGAGAATCAAGAGAAACATATCATAAATTTATTTACAAATGATTTACCAAGCTGTCAGACTTCAGTGCTGGGGGGAAAAAAAGTGAATTATGTCCTGTACGTTCTGGAAAGAAATCCATGGAAGTTGGACTTTTATTTTTTTTTTTTTTTGGACTTTGACATATATTCATGGCATGGATTCCTTGCCAACACGTATATGAAGCAAATGTGTGGACTCTGCAGAAGTTGCACTGTTAACACTGTAATTCTATAACAAGTTGAGACGTAATCCTCTTTGAGATATTACAGTGAATTTTAAGTTAACTGCATGTGATTGGTTTTCTCCCTGTTTTACTACAGTGCAGGCTCATTTCCCTTGACTACTAAACTTGCGGGCTTCCTTTCTCCTCTTTCACTCTTAGTTAACATGTGTTCAGGGACAACACATTATTTCTTCCCTAAGAAAAACCTTACAAAGATAACCCTCTTGGAGCTAAAAAAAATTAACAATTATCACACAAGGCTAATAATGTTAACGATTTTTTCCTACCAAGGTTTTCGTCCATCAGTGGTAGAGGAAGGGCATTTTAATACAATTTCCTGGCCCTTATAAAACAGTATCTATCTAAGGACTTAAGCGATAAGATGCTACTTTCTTCTTTTTATCAATTATAGAGAATATTTGACTATAAATGGTTAAATCACATACTCAGGCAAATCCTTAGAAAATTATTAGAACTGAAATAAAAGGTGCCTCTGATTAAAGTGGTAACATTCATAACAATAAATGATCAATACTCAATGCTTATTATATGCCAGGCACTGTTCTGAGAGTTCAATATGGAATAGGTCACGTTACCCTCAAACAACCCTGTAAAGTAAGGCTGCTAGGAAAACACAGGATACCTAGATAAATGTGAATTTCAGATAAACAGCAAATAATTTTTTAGCATAAAGGATGTTTCATGCAATATTTGGGCATCCTGTGGTTTGGTTTGCTACATCTGGCAACTGTTCTATAAAGCTATAAAGTTATAAAAACCTTACTACCTCTATTTTATAGATAAAGAAAGTGAGATTCAAAGAGGTTAAGCAACTTGTCCATGGTTACACAGTAATCATGGAGTAGTCAGGATTTGAATCCAGGCTGTACGATCAAAAAGGCTACACCCCTAATCATGGTACATATTCCATTCCCACCATGTGCATTTAAGCCAGCACATGGATCTGAGATCTCCCCGTGGAGGTTGGGTGTACAGACTTAACTTGTGATCAGCAGCTAGTTTCCACACTGTTTCTCTATGATACAAGAAAAATAAATCTTCCCCAATTCTGAAAAGCTGTTCTTGGCAGAAAGAGCAGAAAACTGTCCTGTTCTTGTTCTCTCTCATAAACAGAGTTATCACACAATCTTTTAAAACAGGTTTTTCAGAGTGTGTCCCACAGAATGCTAGTATGATGAGTTATTAACAGGAGTTGCTTGGTAAAAAACCAGGTTTCAATAGGCAAATCAGTCTTGGGAACAGAATGAGGGTTAAACTGTATTTCAGGTCTCTAAAGGGCAGGGCTTCCTAGTCTTTAATATTCTGATATATGCTATGGCTTTAAAAGAAAGGATTTAGTAGTAAACTGTATTTCCTAGACTTTGACCAAAGAATCCACCTCCTTCTTTTTCCAGTGTCCCCTAGAAAACTCTTAGAGAATCATTATTTTTAACTTTTTAGAGAGAAAATAATAAGCATGGTGAGTATGGGAGGTCAAGGGAGACCTCTCTTGGTTGCCTTTTTCAGGAGGGACCTGAGTTTAGTGACCACCAGGATTAGAAGTGGAAGTTCCAGGCAACTAGAACATCCTTGCCCTGAGGCTGGAACAATGACTGTGTGGAAGAGCAGGGGCTCTGTGGCTAAGCATGTTTAGCAAGCGTGTAAGGTAATAACATCAAGGTGGGCAGGGCCAGAACAGGTAGGATGCTATAACATGCCAAATCTGCTTACTCGATGGAGAAGGATCATTCATAGGGGTACCAAATCATGGTTCTTTTTTTAAAAAGTTACCTATGATCTAAAAGGTTGAAGTAAATGTGATGTGGTGAGGAAAACAGTGGGTAGCATTCACAAAAAGTAAGATCTGGATGGCTCATTCAATCTCTTTAAACCTGTCTCCTTCTTTGTTCAGGATAGGGCCAGCCTAGTCTCAGGGAGTTGTGAGAATGGAAGGGGGGATGGGGGAGGGTGTAGGTGTGTAGATTGTACAAAACCATGGGAGGTTGCACAGACATAAAGGGTTGTTCTCCTGGATGTCTTCCTATTGCAATTACCACTGGTACTGCAAAATAGTCCTACTGGTGACCCTATATTTTTAGGTTTCTAAAGGATTTCATAGCATATGCTGGACTGAGAACAGAGGTTACAAATTTGGCAGAGCAGCAGTTAAGAAGTTTGCCTTAAAATAGACTTACAGGAGCACCTAGGCACAGTCCAGAGGCTCCAGCCTAAACTCTAGGAGCTCAAGAAGGCCATTCGTGCACTTGAGGGCACTCACTGATATGTGCGTGTGCACATGGTTTTGTACAAAATTAATATGTATGGATTTCCAGACTCTGGTGGGAGGTGGGGGTCTGGGGATAGGGGGCAGGTGGTTTATTAATTGTCTCTGTGGGACACTCCTTCTGAAGAGCCCACAGCATGTTTGAACCACTACCTCAAAAACCCTTAAAATCTATTGAAATTTAGGGGAGTACAATTATTCCTGACCTGTAGGGACAGACTAAGAAAGCCTGTTCAAGTCTATGATTATGGTCCAGGGCTCTGCTATTTAAAAAGCTCTCCTTTAAGAAGACTGCACTTCTTTTTCTGCACAGGCCATACTGTCATTTAGATGCATAATCACAATTTTATTTTTTAAATAGTATTTGGAATTGTTTCTTACATCAAGGTTTTATTTTCCTTTAGTGTAACACCACCACCACCACCACCACCACCACCACCACCACTACCCCAACACACAGAGCTTCCAATCTTAGAGGAAAAGACTAGAGTTTATTAAGAAACCCCAGATCCCAGATCACCCAGTGATAGGATGTTGAGGTGTGTGCTTTAGCAGAGAGATGAGCCTCTTACACAGGTTAAGAAGGCTGGCATTGGAGGCACATAGTCTGTGTTTGGATCTTCGCTGTACCATGTACACCCTATGTGACCTTGAGGAGGACACTTAACTAGGGCTGATTTACTTGTTTGTGAAATGAAGATAATAATCGTAAATCCTTTGTAAAACTGATGAATGGATTAAATTATGACAAGCACTTAAAACAGTTTCTAGGACACAGCAAGCATTCAAAAAACCTTATTGTGGTCACAGACTGGTAGGAAGCGTTGTAAATTATTTTACTACAGTATCTTTCATCTGACTTCCCTTTGGCTAACTCAGTTCTCACTCAGAAATATCAGTGAGGGTGACAGAGCAGGAGAGACTCCTAACTCTGGGAATCAAAACAAGGGGTGGTGGAAGGGGTGGTAGGTGGGGGGTTGGAGTGACTGGGTGATGGGCACTGAGGGGGGCACTTGATGGGATGAGTACTGGGTGTTATGCTATATGTTGGCACATCGAACTCCAATTAAAAAATATATACAAAAAAGAGAGAGAGAGAGAGAGAGAGAGAGATGATTTTGGCCCCTAGGGCACATTTGGCAGTGTCTGGAGAACTTTTTGGTTGTCACAATTAGGGATTGCTACTAGCATCTGGTGTGTAAAGGCCAGGCACGCTGCTAAACATTTTATAGTGAACAGGACAGCCCCTCACAAGGAATAATCCGGCCCAAAATGTCAATCGTGCCAAGATTGAGAAACCCTGGAAACTAAACATGGTAGGATTTATAATTCACTGAAACCACACGATAATTTTAGTTACTTAGATCTAAGAAAGCATTTTTCACAATTACCTGGGATCTTAAAAGTCTAAAGTATGTTTAGATTATAGAAAGAGAACTAATGAGGGGCTCCTGGGTGGCTCAGTTGGTTAAGCATCTGCCTTTGGCTCAGGTCATGATCCCAGTTTCCCTGCTCAGTGGGGAGCCTGCTTCTCCCTCTCCCTCTGCTCTTCCCCCACCCAATTCATGTTAGCTCTCGCTCTCTCTCTCTCAAATAAATAAAATCTTTTTTTAAAAAAGAAAGAAAGAGCACTAATGATGAGCCTTGATAATTTCTGAGACTATGCAGCCTTTCTTCCAAACCATGAAGGGACCATTCACAACAATAGTTTCTTACCTAACCAAAATGATTTCTTAAGATCCACTATACCATGTTCTCTCTGTTTGCTGTAGCCTGAGATTTTAATTTATCATCAGTTTAGGGATTCAAAAAATAAGTTTTCTTTAGACACTAGGGATACAACCCAGGTCCTATAAGTCTCCCTAACTTTCTTGGAATCCTATCTGATAGATGGGATTTACAGCCTAAAATTTAAGTCTGTTCCATATTTTGTGTCTCCTGGAGCATCTTAGCTGGGTAATGTAAATGACAGGTGCAGGAAATCTCATAATGCAAGATGTTATGCAGCCCTCCTCTGTATTAAAAATGTTTACTGCCAGGGACACCTGGGTAGCTCAGCCGTTGAGCGTCTGCCTTTGGCTCAGGGCGTGATCCCAGAGTCCCAGGACTGAGTCCCATGTTGGGCTTCCTGCATGGAGCCTGCTTCTCCCTCTGCCTATCTCTCTCTCTCTCTCTGTCTCTCATGAATACATAAATAAAGTCTTTTAAAAAAATGTTTGCTGGCATCAGCATATACTTCATCTTGGATTTCTTGAATGTTTTCCATGTCTTATCTTTTGCTTATAAAAGAACTATGTATTTGGCTTGGTATTTTATTCAGAAAGCATACTGGAGTTACAAAACACCAAGGTTTTGAAAGTCCAGACTACTCTCCCCAAAGAGGAAAATGTCCAATCAAAATAGCATGACATGCATACTAATCCAGAAATATGTTCTTAAAGTATTAAGAATTAGCTTTTCTGATCTTCCTAACCATAAGTCTTTATCCCTCATTTCCTAAAAATTAATAAATCATTGGCTCAGGATGGTCATAAATTGTATGTGGCATTTAAGAGTCATTATTTTTGTCATATGTAAGAAATTTTACACCATTCATTAAGGAAGAATACTTCTCATCAGAGTCTATCTGCAATAAAATAATCTTGCTAAGCTTTGTGCTCCTTCTTGCCCCAATATACAAACCAGTCTCCATGTGTGGCTCACCTGCTTTCTGATAACTGACCATTACTTACACTACCTGAAACAGAGTGTTAGTCAGCTTAAAACAGTGTTTTTTTCTTTTAAGATTTTTATTTTATTTATTTATTCATGAGAGACACAGAGAGAAAGAGAGGCAGAGACATAGGCAGAGGGAGAATCAGGCTCCATGCAAGGAGCCCGACATGGGACCCGATCCTGGGACTCCAGGATCATGCCCCAGGCCGAAGGCAGGCGCCAAACCTGCTGAGCCACTCAGGGATCCCAAAACAGTAGTTTTTAACCTGAGATTTACCTGAGGAGGTCTTTAAAATCCTGATGCCCTGGCCACATTCCAAGGTTGAGAACCAGCAGTTCGGAAGAAAATCTATTAGGATGAACTGAGGCAAACCAACGTGAACTTTGTAACATTACTGTCTCAATCTCTTTTCAGGTGTTTAGGCATGGAGATCGAAGTCCCATTGAGACCTTCCCAAATGATCCCATTAAGGAAGCTTCATGGCCACAAGGATTTGGCCAACTCACTCAGGTTGGTTGGATTTTCAGCTAAATGTTGCTGATGAGTCTTATGGGAAACTATGTGGAGTTTGTAATACATTGAAACCATAGAACTACTTTAGTTACTCAGATTTGGGTGAGTTTTGTTTTTGTTTTTTGTTTTTTTTTTTTGTTTTTTTTGTTTTTTTTTGTCTAAAGTGTGCTTTGATTGTGGCAGGCGAAGCACTAATGGTTAACTTCAGTAATTTCTGATCATAACCAAGTCACCCCTCATGACTAGTAATGGTAGGAAAATTGTATAAAATTGCCCATTTTGATCTTTTTTTGCCCTATTTGGCTTTATTAAAGCATAAGAGCTGCACATGGCAATAGACGAATACATGAGCTTAAAGATGCTGAAGAGAGCCAAGTGGTCCTTGGAAACTAGCTCTTGAGTTTCTCTGCTTCCACCTGAGGAAGTAGAAAACCACCTTATAATCAATAAACTGGATCAGCAGGGTTAGGAAAACAGGATTCCTCTGGAAGTGCTGATACCAAATTTGATTTTTTTTATCAGCGGAATACACTAGGATTGAACCTTCTTTTAAGTGGTCTTAAACATAGGGAGCCCTACTTCCTAAAAAGCACAAAAGGAGAAGGGTTGGGTAGGGGAAATACAAAGGCATCTGTAATCACTGTTGCAGTGTCCCACTCCCTTCCCTTGCTTACAAGTAGATGGTTCTTCTATTTGGAGCCACAAGGCCATGTGTATGGCTTCTGTCCCGACCAAAGCACTGTTTAATTACATTAAGAAAATGTTGTAGAATGTTTAGAGTTGACTATCTCTAAACATTTAACCAAACATTTAAACCAATAGGTCTCAGTCTGAGCTAAACATGGAAATTATATGGAGAGCTTTAAAAAATATTGATGTCTGGGAGGGCACATGATGTGATGAGCATAAGTGTTATATGTAACTGATGAATTATTAAAAACTACATCTGAAACTCATGATGTATTATATGTTGGCTAATTGAATTTAAATTTAAAAAAATAGGAAGGTTCTTACTTAATTCATATAGAGTGTGGCCCAGACATTGGGATTTTCAGAAATTCCTTAGCTGATCAGTTGACTCTGAATGTGCAGCCAAGTCTGAGAACCACTTCTCTAACTCGACCACAATGTTTCATAGAGGAGAAATCCCACAGAGGCTATTTGAGGTCAGCATCTTTTGACCCCCTGATCAGAGCTCCTCTCAGCATAACCTACTCAGCTTCTGGCTCCTTAAAAGAGGGAATGATAATAAAAACTCAGGGCTACTTCTTAATACCTGTGGCTACATGGAGACTCCTGTTCTCATGTTCTGCTTTTCCAGGAAGACTTTAAGATTCTTTCAGACTGTAGGTATCTGGATTTTCCTTCTGGGAGTCTTTTGACTAGCCATCAAATTTTCCTAGAGCAGTATTTTTCAAGCTTCCAAATACAAATGTACCATTTGGAGACCTTGTTAAAATGCAGGTTCTAATATTCAAAGGAAATGAAAACATTAGTTCAAAGGATATCTGCAACCCCTTGTTCATTGCAGCATTACTTACAATAGCCAAGCTATGGAAACAACCTAAGTGCCCATCAACAAAAGAATGAATAAAGAAGTTGTGGTATTGACATATAATGAAATATTATAGCCATAAAAAATGTATAAAATCCTGCTGTTTGTGAAAACGTGGGTAAACCTTAAGGACATTATGCTAAGTAATATAAGTCAGACAGAGAAAGACAAATACTGTATGATCTCAATTATATGTGGAATCAAAAACAAATTTTTTTAACCAAACTCATAGGAAAAGGGATCAGATTTGTGGTTACCAAGGCAGGGGGTAGGGAGAAGAAGATTGGGGAAAAGGCAGTCAAAAGGTACAAACTTCCAGTTACAAGGTAAATAAGTGCTAGGGATTTAATGTACAGCATAATGACTATGGATAAAAGAGCTCTATGATACATATGAAAGTTGCTGTGAGAATAAATCTCAAGAGTTCTCATCACAAGGAAAAACAATTTGTTGTTTTTTTTTTTTTTGCTTTCTCTTTTTTTGTATCTCTATGAAAGGACAGATGCTAACTAAATTCATAACTTATCATTTCACAATATATGTAAACCAAATTGCATGCTGTATACCTTAAACTTATACAGTGATGTATGTCAATTATATATCAATAAAACTTGAGGAATAAAGAAAAAAATGCAGATTCTAATTCAGCAGGTCTGACATGGGCCTAAGAGTCTTCATTTCTAACAAACTCCAAGGTGACACCAGTGGTGCTGGTACTGGCCACTCCTGGAAGTAGCAAGGTTCTAGAGCTCAAATTCCAGCCCTTGGCCTGGTACTTCCAATCTATATAATGAAAGGGTGATAGCTTTCTAGGTCAGTAGTTCTCAAAGTGTGATCCCTAGATGAGCAACATCACCATTACTTGAAATTTGTCAGAAATGTAAGTTCTCTGGCCCTCCCCCACTGAACCAGAAACTCTGGGCTTCAATTCTGGGAACCTTTGGTTTAACAAATCCTCCAGGTGATTCTGTGCATGCTGACATTTGAAAACCACTGCTCTATAGAAGATGATTCTTTCGTCAAAATTCAGCTGTAAGTTAGTACAACAAATTAGGTCCAAAGTACCTACTTCTTTAACTACCCATGTCATCCAGGAAACTAGCAAGACTCAAAGTACACATTACTCTTTTCCTACCTCCTTCCCCATCCTAGAAGGGTGGTGATGATCATGGGAGCCAGGAATACAAGCAAATGAATGAGTGGGACCAAGCAGAAGCTTTAGTGACCACATCCTCTCTGACTCCTGAAGCTCTAGTAAAATTTTGGATTAAAGACAGACTTGAATGCAGTGTTTCTCAAGCATGACAGTCTACTACATGGATCTGAATCACACAACACACTTATTAAAATGCATATACCAGGGCCACTCTGGGGTCTAACAAGCAGGAAATCTCTGAGGGAAATGCTGAGGCATCTGCCTTTCAACAAGCACCCTTAGATAATTTTTATTTTTCTTTTTTTTTAATATTTTTTTAAAGATTTATTTATTTATTTATTCATGAGAGACGCAGAGAGAGAGGCAGAGACACAGGCAGAGGGAGAAGCAGGCTCCACGCAGGGAGCCTGATGAGGGACTCGATCCTGGGTCTCCAGGATCAGGCCCCGGGCCGAAGGCTGCACTAAACTGCTGAGCCACGATAATTTTTCTTCTGATGCTTGAGGATCACTGAATTAAAGCAACATTCCTCAATGATTACTATCCAATCAGAATCTTAGTAAGCTTGTTAAAAAGAGGTTCCTGAGCTCCACTCCCCAAAGGTTCTGGCTTCGTAGATCAAGATGGGTCCCAAGAATTCGATTTCTTACATACTTCCAAGTAATGCTAATACTGCTGATCCCCAGACCACACTCTGGGTAACAGGCTCTCGTTTTTCATGAACCAGGCATAAATTAACTGTGCAGATAAAAATTATCACACTCCGAAAGTGATTAAAAGGTGAAAGTGATCTTCAGATTCACCAAGTCCAACCTCTTATTAGATGGTTGAGTTTCTTCACCAACTCTCCACCAAGTGGTAAACCAGCTCTCCTGAACGTACCACCAATAAAGATGAGCGAGTAATGTTCCACACTAGAGAACCATCTACTTAAATTAGATCAATCACTAGTTATTAACTGTGCTCTATGTTAGGTGCTAATGAAGGTGTATAAGTTTTCTCAAGGAGTCATGGTTAAAGGTTACAACCCTTTTTTCTTGTTTGCATTTACAATTATGTTGTTATTGTGGAACTATTAAAGTACACCATGGTTTGCTCTATGCATTCAGTAAGGAGAGATAAGATCATACATGAGGTGCACAGAATTTACTTTCACTGATTTTTGCTTTTATTTGTTCCTTGTAGCTGGGCATGGAGCAGCATTATGAACTTGGACAGTATATAAAGAAAAGATATGGGAAATTTTTGAATGAGTCCTACAAACGTGAACAGGCAAGTTGGAGAGCCAAGAATGGGAACCTTTGTCCTTGAAAGAATTTAGCATGATGTTGCATTTGTAAAAGTGCTTTGCCTATTTCCCAAGGGACTTACACAAGTCAGAGATCTTATTTACAAATGTACTCCTCTTTTTTTTTTAAGATTTTATTTATTTATGAGAGAGAGAAAGAGTACAAGCAGAGGGGAGGGGCACAGGGGGAGGAAGAAGCAGGCTCACTGCTGAGCAGAGAGCCTGACTTGCTGGATCCCAGGACTCTGCGATCACGATCTGAGCTAAAGGCAGACATGTAACTGACTGAGCCACCCAGGCACCCCAAATGTACTCCTCTTTATATGAATACTCTGTTCCTAAAAAATTTATGAATACTAAGTTGAAAATGTTATGGACACCTATGGCAAATACTTTGGCTTAGCAAGTAGCCACCACTTGAATGGTCTCTTTGTCAATTCAACTATTGACATACCAGGGTGGCATTCTCATAATACTTTCTTCTATAGTAGATATCATGATGCTTGCTACCAGATGTCTGCTAATGTTTTGGTGTGAGGGTCCTGGCCTTTCTCAGATGTGCTCTTCATTCCCCAGGGATAAACCCACAGTTCCAAGCAGTAAGAATCTCCTTTGATTTTCCTACTCTAGGTTTATTTTTTTTTTTTATTTTTTTTTTTTATAAATTAATTTTTATTGGTGTTCAATTTACCAACATACAGAATAACACCCAGTGCTCATCCCGTCAAGTGTACCCCTCAGTGCCCGTCACCCATTCACCCCCACCCCCCACCCTCCTCCCCCTCCAGAGACAAGAAGTCCCTGACTTTCATGGGGAGGAATATTAGGGTAACAGCAGACCTCTCCACAGAGACGTGGCAGGCCAGAAAGGGCTGGCAGGATATATTCAGGGTCCTAAATGAGAAGAACATGCAACCAAGAATACTTTATCCAGCAAGGCTCTCATTCAAAATGGAAGGAGAGATAAAGAGCTTCCAAGACAGGCAGGAACTGAAAGAATATGTGACCTCCAAACCAGCTCTGCAAGAAATTTTAAGGGGGACTCTTAAAACTCCCCTTTAAGAAGAAGTTCAAGTAACTCTGAACGTGAATGGGCTTAATGACCCCATCAAAAGGCGCAGAGTTTCAGACTGGATAAAAAAAACAGGACCCATCTATTTCCTACTCTAGGTTTATATTCAAAGCACGGATGTCGATCGGACGTTGATGAGTGCTATGACAAACCTTGCAGGCCTGTTTCCTCCAGAGGGTATCAGCATCTGGAATCCCAGCCTACCCTGGCAGCCCATCCCAGTGCACACACTCTCTCTTTCTGAAGATCGGGTAAGTATTATGGAAAAACCTGCACATCCCATTGGCCTAGGAGGAGGAAGGCAGGTTGCCCAGTACTTGTGGGTTTGGAAGTCTGGACACTGTTTGGTCTGTGCAATCTTAATCCTTTTCTAAATAAACATATGAAGGACAAAGTAGGACATAGAAAGCCCCAGGCAAGAGAGAGCAGGAACAGAATTTCAGTGTGGACCTTTATAATCCACATTGTTTTGCCACCCTTTCAGCAAATGGCAATATGAGGGCATCTGGGTGGTGCAGTTGATTAAGTGGCCAAATCTTGGTTTGGGCTCAGGTCATGATCTCCCAGTCATGGGATTGCGCCCCAAGTCAGCTCTACACTCCACGCTCAGTGCCAAGTCAGCTTGAGTTTCTCCCTCCCTGTGCCTCTGCCCCTCTCCACCACATGCTTGCTTTCTCTCTCTCTCTCAAATAAATAAATAATCTTTTTTTTAATGGCGATTTGCCCCCTCCACTTTCACATGTACATGCATGTGTATGCACGCACGCACACACACACACACACACACACTCACACACAGTTCCCCTTGTTCTACCTTCAATTCCTAGGCTTTTGGTGCCCCACATAGGGTTCTCCTCCCTCTAGAATATCCTAAGATCTTTCTATCTACAAAATACTCCTCCTCACATGAAAACCCCCATTCTGAGATAGGGGATAAAAGAAAGATTTGAGTACATAGTCAGTGACCAGCACTTTGATATATGTCATCATACTTACCTTTCATAACAACCTTGAATGGACAACATTATGTTCTCCTTTTATAGCCAGAGAAATATGTACTCAGAGAGATAAACAAAATAGGCCCAGTGCCACAAAGCTGGTAAGCATTATTACTGAGACCAGAACCAGACTTATCTCATTCCAGAGCAATTTCCTTCCCTGTAAACTAATAGTTCTCAAAGTTATTATATTAGAGTTAACTGAAAAAAATGTTTCAAATCCTGGCACCTAGGACACTCTCTATAACAAATCAGAATCTCTGAGGTTGGGATGCAGGCGTCAGTACTTTTAAAATAATCTCCCTAGATGATTCTAGTGGATAGCCAGGTGTGAGAACCAGTACTATAACCAAGTTCCTAAAAGAGGCTAGTTGAGAGAAATTCTCAAATTTATTTGCACTGGGTAGGATGTACCAAAAGCTCTTTAACATTTTCAGAGGAATTGCTTTTGGTTTTAAATGGTATTAAATAAATCTAACTAATCTCCCAGGCATGGAATTTAAGACTATATAAAGGAGCGGCGCCTGGGTGGCTCAGTCAGTTGGGCGTCAGACTTTTGATTTTGGTTCAGGTCATGATCTCAGGGTTGTGAGATCGAGCCCCGCTTTGGGCTCTGCACTGATCATGGATTCACTGGTCATGACTCCCCTACAGTCCCATTGTAAGTATGACTGGGTCATCTCTGTAGCTGAGGCTTAGCATGACTTCTGCACCCACACCATTGCCCAGGGTGCCCTGGGGTAGGCTTCTATCCTCTTTTCCCTGCCAGTACACTTAGATATTTGACTTAACTGTTGCATTTGATGACCTTAGAATCTTTCCCAAATACTTTGTAGAAACAGCCTGACCCCATCGACCTCACTCTAGGTAAGTCTACTCCAACCACTTTTTCTGATGTTTCCGGAAAAAGCAAGATAGATTCATACCTCTTTCTTTCCCAGAATCAAGGGAGAAGTATTATGATGATCAGTATTCTTAGGAGTTTCTGAATATTTTCTTCCAAAAAGAAAAAAAAATCACTTTTGCCACAACCTTTTCTGCTTTAGATAGATACTGTACAGCAGCACCAAATTTAGCCAATGTAGACCAAGGTAGATGTTTAACCCTTAGTCCTGAAAGATAGTATTTAATTTATGTAGTAAAGAGACTATAGGGGCTATTAGAAAAGGAAAAGGGAGGGGAGCCTGAGGGGCTCAGTTTGTTAATCTGCCTTTGGCTTAGGTTGGGATTTCAGGGTCCTAAGATCAAGCCCCACGTTGGGCTCCTTGCTCATCAGGGAACCTGCTTCTCCCTCTACCTGTCACTCCCCCTGCTTCTGGCTTTCTCTCTCTCTGTCAAATAAATAAATAAAATCTTTAAAAAGAGAAAAAGAGAAACAGGAGTGAGGGAGAAAGAAGAAAGAATTTATCAATACAAAGTTATTCCCAGGGCTGTGCTAAGTGCCATAGAGAAATATGAGGCTAAGTTTCTTCCCTAATTTATCATCCATTTGATGAAAATAGATTTGCATGTATGACCTGTGTAAACCACGATACAAAGTGGTGGGCCATGATGCAAGACCAGGTACTCTTGCTAGAGGAATGGACAAGAGGATGACTGTGGTGTTCCCATAGGGTAGCCATTTGAGTCTTCACAGAGAGAGTGAGAGCTTGACACAGGCCCCAGAGAAAGAGACGAAAGGGAGAAGAAGGTGGCCCAAAAACATGGCAGTGGGTGAATATACAGAGGGCTTGCCCTTCTGTGTTCAGAGTTCTTATTTAGGAGCAATGAAAATGTCTGACTGACTATGTTGGGCACAGACAGGAGACTCCCAAGTTAATAGCCAGGAGGAATCTTGAGGTGGAGAGGCGGTGTTGTAAGAGGAATTTAAAGCCAGGTAAATCCAGATTGGAGAGCCAACTACCGTTTCAGACACTTGACCTCAAGTCACCTCCCTACATTAGTGTTCTTTTCTGTGACATGGGAACAGCAGTTCCCTACTTAACTACTTCATGACAATTTGTGAAAACCCAGTTAAGAAATGGAAGAGATTTTTGTGAATGGCAAAATGTTGGTCAGGTATTGAGGTGATTATCCCACTTCTTTTCAGCCTCATGTGGGATGAGGAAACTAAAATCTAGGAAGGTCGAGTAATTCACTAAAACCTAGACCGTTAAATGAATAGTCCTGGGCCTTTCCCTCCGTAGTGCCATCTCTTCTGTGGAAAAATTGGAAAGCCACATAGGGCAATTGAGATGTCGAGCCGCAGACATCAAAGAAACCTGTGCATATTCATTCTTCAGTACTGTGCACGTGTGATGAGTGGTGCTGTGAAGCATCTGTCTGACCATGGTTTGGAAGAAGAGGATACAAGAACCTCAGAGAATAACTGCTGAAAGCAATTCAGGAGTGAGGAAATGGAGGTCTGAAATTAGAATAAGGCAAATGACACAGAATCGGGAAGCAACCTATTTTTAAAAAGGTTTCTGAGCAGCTGCTAATATGCCAGGCTTTGTTCTAGGCATTGACAACACAGCAATGGACAAGACAGACAAGATCCTGGCTGCCCTCATGTTGATATTTTATAGGAAATAGACAATAAAGAAGTAAAAAAAAAATAGTAATAATCTCCAATGGCGATGAGTTCCTCAAAGGAAATAAAGCAAGGCAGTGTGCTCATGGCTGGAGCAGAGTGGCTAGAAGAGCCTGGCAGGGGTCCCTGGGGGCAAGGTCTCAGGCAAGAAACAGTCTGCAGAGCCCCTAAGCCTGTGAGGTCAGGGGACAACAAGGAGGCCCCAGTGTTGGTGCAGAAAAGTGAGGGAACAGTAGTAAGACAGGTGGGCAGGGATCTCTAGGGTTTACTGAGTTTGGATTTTATTCCAAGTGAAGATTATAAACTACAGAATGGCATGATCTGATGAAGGCTTTAGAGAGATTTGTGTTTCTAAAAATAAAAGGAAAAAAATAAAAATAAAAGGAAAAGGATTAGGGTAGCTGTGATGATACAGAGAATGAATTGTAAAGATGGAAAGAGTGGATGCCTACTGACCAAGTAAGTGGCTCTTACATCAGTTGAACACAGGTTATGATGGTTTAGACTGGAAGGGAACCATGAATATGAAGACGAAGAGTCTATTTTGAATTTTGGATTTTTTTGAACGTAAATAAGCAAGGCTGATTAGTCTATGAAACAGGATGATAAATTTTACCTTTGGCCAAAGTAGACAGATTACGGAGGTAAAGTGGTTAAAAATGAAGCCGATTTCAGTTTTGTACATGTGAAACTTGAGGAAGAAGAGAAACAGCCAAGTAGTGATACCTACCAAGGGCTGGAAATACAAGACAAGACGCAAATGAAAAGTAAGAGCAACAAAATAAGCTGAGGAGTCACCAACCTACAGATTATAGTTAAGATTACAGAGGATTGTCAAGTTTAAACTCATCCCTTTGTCCTTATAATGGGTTTTAAAATACATTTTTCTATATATTTAGTATATGTGCTTATTTTGACCCCAACTTAAGTCAATGAATGGTTAATCCATCTCTTAAGATTCTTTCCAGAACCTCTCATTCATTTCTGTATACTCACGTTATGTTGGAGGCGGGTGGGTGGGATGCATTTACTCACGTGTATGTTGGGGGTGGGTGGGATGCATTTACTCACGTGTATGTTGGGGGGTGGGATGCATTTACTCACGTGTATGTTGGAGGGGGGTGGGTGGGATGCATTTGCACACAAATGTGTATCTCATGCTAGAAATGTAAGAGGTCCAGTAGAAAGCGAGATAATAGTTATATCAACATGGAAAGCCATGCAGTGTGAATATTTACCAACAACACAGTCCTATTTAGGCAAGTTAGTGAAAGGAAAAAACCTTTTCAGTTCTGGGTGCATATCCTACTATCTAAGACCTACATACAGGCCATTTATCTCTTTTCCCTCAATTTTAGAGTTTCCGTTCAGCTCAAAACACATGTGTATCTTTTACTCAGGTCACTTTGCATCTAATGTGGTTTAAAATATGGCTGCAGCTTCTTTAGCAAAGTTCTTCTGACTAATAAAGAATTTATGATTTTTCTTTTGTCCTCAGTTACTGTACCTGCCTTTCCGGGACTGCCCCCGTTTTAAAGAACTTACGGAGGAGACTCTCAAATCAGAGGAATTCCAGAAGAGATTGCATCCTTACAAGGTTAATAATCGTGTCATTTAGTGGTGTACAGGAGTGTGAGAGCCAAGACAAAGGATGAAGTTCCAGCTTCTTAAAAGTGTGGGAGAAATGTGTCTGCCAGTGGCTGGTGATAGCAATGGGTTAAAACATTTAATGAGAGTCAGTCATCACTTTCTGATCCCCTTCCCTGTGTGGGGCCACAAGCCAGTAGAGAAGCCAGTCCCTTTCTAATCCTATACCTGTGTGCCAGAAGGAACCAGACAAAAGTGCATGGCTGGGTCAGAATAAATGCAAATCTGAAACAATTCTGCCTTAATGAGGCTAAGGGGCTAGGACCATTAACTCTTATTAAAGGATAAATAAATTGAGAGATTGTAATGTAGCAATGTTCTCTCTGTGTATGTTTCAGGATTTTATAGAAACCTTGCCAACATTTACAGGATACCATACCCAGGACCTTTTTGGAATGTGGACTAAAGTCTATGACCCTTTATTTTGTGAGGTAAGAGAAAAAATATCAAAGATTAACTTGCAATTGATTTTTATCATTTATGCCAATTTTGAAACAGATGAATACATTTTCTTTTACTTTTTTGGCAGATATATTAATTATGCTTCCTCTGACATTGAAACATAATTCAAGACTTCTTTATATTAACTTGAAAATTCTGACTTTTTTTTCTCCATTATTTATGTTTTCACCCTTTAGCAAATTGCAGGCAAAATTGCTTTTTTTCTGTGGCTTGCCATTTACTTATTTCTCAGTCAGTCAGGAATGCTGGGCTCCTGTCATGGATTTTACTGAAAAGAGAAATGTTGTTATATAGACAGACCAAACAAACAAACAAACAAACAGTACCTGATTTCTGGATATAGAAATAAGCAAGCCAACCTCAAGCCAGGGTGTTGAAATTGGTTTATTGGGCATCTCTTCTTTGCCATACACACATATGAAATAACCTCTGTAGCTCGATCAATTACCTACCATTGAGGTTTTCAAGGCTACAAAGTATTTCACTCACTATATACCATCTACTGGCCAAAAAGAGTGCTCTACAATCCTGTTTTCCCTACCAGGTTCACTGAATCCAAAGGCCAAATTCTCACTACCCATAAGACTTCTAACCACCTCTAATCTTGAGCTCATCATGAGGGTCTAAGGGTCATAGTAACTTAGTAACAAATGACACAATTTACCCCCTTCCATGACAGAGTTCATTGACCTTCACATGACCTTCCTGATATTTTCACTCTATCATTTGCATCTGTTTCAAGGAAGACTAGCTAGCCTTATAAAAGACTCTTCAGAGCTGCCTGGCTGGCTCAGTCAGTTCAGCATCTGAGGCTTGGTTTGAGCTCAGGGTCATGAGGTCAAGCCCTAGGTTGGACTCTGCCCTGGGCCTGGAACCCGCTTGGGATTCTCTCTCTCTCCCTCTTACTGCTCCTCCCCTGCACTCATGTTCTAGCATGTGCACACACTCTCTCTCTCAAATAAACAAATCTTTAAAAAAAAAAAAAAAGATTCTCCAGTAGAAATAAGAGCTCACATTTTGCTTCAGATCTTGATTTTTTTTTTCTTCCTTACTACAGATTGATCTGAGCTGTTCCATGATATGGCCATGGTGCAGGTTTCCTTTTCACTTCTCTCCTATGTATTGTCTCCCTAGGCACTCCACTTTGAGCTGTTTAAAGAACTCTCTCTCTCTCTCAATTCTGTCTTCGAATCTGAGGATTCTTTTTTTTTTTCTTAAGATTTTATTTATTTATTCATGAGAGATGCAGAGACATAGGCAGAGGGCAAAGCAGGCTCCTCCTAGGGAGCCCGATGCAGGACTGGATCCCAGGACTCTGGATCATGACCTGAGCCAAAGGCAAGACACTCAACTGCTGAGGCACTCAGGTGTCCCAAATCTGGGGGATTCTTAATCAGTTGTCCATAGCAAGTAATAAATATTGGCACAAAGTCTATACCTGCCCTGCTGTACAGCTTATTCATCCATTTAACAAAATTCACCAAGAGCCTACTGTGTGTACAGTGCACTTTCCCCAGGAGTCAGTACACTGGAAGATACTGGGAGTTGGGGGGTCTGGTACTGAAAGCTCCAGAAATATATTGCCTCTCCCAGCTGTCCTCTCAGGGCACTCATTCATCTTTGGCAGAAACATCATCTAACCCTGTCAGTGTCACCCTCCCTACAGGTTAATAGATTTCTAAATCTCTCATAAAGGAATGAGGTACATTCTTGCCCTACCTCACCCTTCCTGCAAAATAGGAATCCCCCTTTGGACCCACACTGAAGCCAAAAGCTATGGACTTGGTAGGAAGGGGCAAATCAGTCTCTGTGAGTTTCCCTTCTGAAAAATCAATACCACTCCTTATCACAAAGTCAAGTTTTCCTAGAGAGAAATGGCTGGACAAGAAAGGCTAGACCCAGTAGATCCTGTGAGAGAAAGAGGACGAAAAGTCAACAAATGAAAATACACATTTGCTTTCCTTTTTCTTTGCTACAGAGTGTTCACAATTTCACTTTACCCTCCTGGGCCACAGAGGACACCATGACTAAGTTGAAAGAATTATCAGAATTGTCCATCCTGTCCATCTATGGAATTCACAAGCAGAAAGAGAAATCTAGACTGCAAGGGGGTGAGTATATAAAAAAGTAAAAAGAATGCACTGGATTTGTGGTTGAAAGTAGACCCAGGCAAAAGGCTGCCCAGCTCTTAGAATCAGGATAAGTAGGTGGAAAAAAGAAATGAGGGGCAGCCCGGGTGGCTCAGCGGTTTAGCGCCGCCTTCAGCCCAGGATGTGATCCTGGAGACCTGGGATCGAGTCCCACGTCGGGCTCCCTGCGTGGAGCCTGCTTCTCCCTCTGCCTGTCTCTGTCTCTCTCTCTCTCTCTCTGTTTCTCTCATGAATAAATAAAGAAAATATTTTAAAAAAAATTAAAAAAAAAGGAAAAAAGAAATGAGGACCAGGCAGGACAGCAATAGATGCTGATGCTTCTGAGAGTAGTTGGGGTGGGCCAAGACACCAAAGGGGGCATCAGGTCTAGGTATTATTAATATAGACATTTAAAGTAAGGATGGAGAGTAAGATGAAGTCCATTATGTCAGATTGACAGAACAGTGAAGAAATTCTAAGCCACAGGAGATGTTCTAAGTCAAATACTCTAGAAAGTTTGAGAAAACCAGAGCAATCACATCAGGACTCCAACCATTTCCAGACCCTACTCACTGTGGGGTCAGGACAAGTTCAGCAGAGCCCCCGGGAGGATACATAGAGGCAAAGACATCTTGGCTGTTGGACCAGGCTGGGCAAATGTTCACTCAGGACATGGCCCAGGCAGCAGCCCCATCTGATGTGTTAAACAAGAAGGGGCGGAGGGTAGAAGTTGGGCCTCGTTGGCTACACATACACCACATCATACTCCTCAACTACCAGGAACCAAGGTATGACTCAATCCCAAGCCACATGAAATGGTGGAGACAGGGCTCTTAGTGGAGGTCCCCCCATGATGGGCTGAGAAATTCACCCCTCACTACTCAAAATGCAGTCCATGGGAGCAGTAGCAGCAGCAACATCACCAAGTCTCTGGTTAGAAATGCAGAATCTCAGACCCCATCTCAGCCAGACCAGCTGAATCAGAATCTGCATCTTAATGAAAGCCCCAGGTACCTCATGAAACATCAAAGTTCAGAAGCCCGTCTCTAGATGCAAGAAATGGTGAAGAAATGGGCAGGGAAAGCCAGGCAGAGGTTGAGAATAGTCTAATAATAGATGCAGGTGTCTGTATGGGAAGAAAAACTGGGGGTTTTCCTCACATTTGGTTCACATTTGCTCTTCTTGTTTTCCTTTGACTATTAAACATTGAATTTCAGAGAAGTCACTTCCCCTCCTAGTCCGGTTTCCCCATTTGATCAGTGCATTAAACTAGATTGCCTGTTAAGAGCTCTTCCCTAAGGTGTTGTTTTGGTGTCAGACTCTAAAGGCTGGTATTTGTGTGAATGCACCTGTCCCATTTTCTGGAGAAGTCCAGAGTATTGATTGACCAGGAAATTGTTTCCTGAGTGATTCCTGCCAAAACCCAAGTCCAGCCTATTGTTTGGATCTGGCTAGGCAAAGAGATTTGTCAACTACATGCTTGTTGGGTGATGAAGCAGCTAAACACAATCCTGCAAAGAAAACATGTATTGTCTGAGTGACACGGAGGCACACAGGAACATCAGGACTTGGACTGGCATCTTCCCATCTCTGCCAAAACTTTTGTTTCATCGGTTAGTTTTAGGGATGACACAATTTGGTGCTATGCATGCCTCCACCCACCTCCTTCTATGCATACACACACACACACAAACACACACACACACCACAAAAATTCCTAAGGTCCATTTAGGAATTTATGATATATGGCTGGTCATATCGGTATTACTGTAAACCTCTTCTTGCTGTACACCACAGGTTGGTGTAAGCTGCAGCCTGCAAACCAAACCAGCCTGCTGCCTATTTTTTATAAATAAAATGTTATTGAAACTCAGCCCACACTCATTTAGGTAGGTAGTGCTATGGCTGCTTTTGGGCTTCCACCCGAGAGTGAACAGTTATGGCAGACCATATGGTTGACAAAGCCACTGTCTGGCCCTTTACAGAAGTATGCCAGCCCCTGCTATAGCTCAAGAGTGTGGGAAGGGAAGTTTATATCTTGTAGTCAGTGATATTTTGTCTAGTGTATGCAGTTAATAAACGATGTCACAGAGAACTTAGAAGCTAGCCTATGCTTCAGTGTAGTCTAATTATTAAGACATGCTAGGTTCAGAGAAGCTCAGCCCCTCTGTGTACATGTTGTGGAATCTTGGACAAGTCATTGAATGTCTCTAACCTCAGTTTGGCCTCCCATAAAACATAATTATAGGCATGCCAGAGCCTGGGGGGTAACTGTGGTAGTTAGTGCTAGTTTTCTTCTGGGGAAAAATGGACAATCACCGGAGAACCAAGAGCTGATGTCATATCCCATTATCAATACCGAAGGCTGCTGCAGAGGCAACTATTGAAGGCCAAGTTGCTGATAGGTAATGATGTTGCCCCTAAAGGACCCTGAGAAAGCAACCTTCTCTGAAGCACCGTGGTCTAGACCTGTTGGAGATGTGCAGCTAGCTTCTTCCATTCCTAGTCAAGGGAGTCCCAGCATCTGCAGGAAGCACAGAACACCTCCCTTCACAATCAACCCTTTATTGTGCCTCTTGGTATACAGATGAATAAACAGTCTCTTTGAACTGTTTTATGAGCTTTTTGAGGGCAGGAGTCTGATTCACCTCCCACAGTATCTGGCCCATGGTAGCTGCTCAGTGTGGTGTTTGCCGAGTAGACCACAGAGTCTAGAATGATAGTCTATTAACGTCCATGCCCTGCTCTTTACAAAAACAAACACGTCATTCTGAAGCTGGGAGAGTACATGTGTGGTAAAGAAACCACCGGGGCAACTGGGTGGCTCAGTCAGTTGAGCTTCCGACTCTTGGTTTCTGTTCAGGTTGTCATCTCCAGGTCGTGAGATCAAGCCCAGGATCAGGCTCCCCACTCAGAACAGAATCTGTTTCAGATTCTCTTTCTCTCATTCCCTCTGCTCCTCCCTCCTGTGTGCTCTCTCTCTTTCTCTCTCTCCCCCCCTCTCTCAAACAAATAAATCTTTAAAATAAAAATGGATGGAGGGAAGGAGGGAGGGAAAGAGGGAGGGAGGAAGGAAGCAAGCAAGCAAGCAAGCAAGCACCAGAAATATAAGAAGACTTCAGGTGATGGTTGTGGAAGTCCCTGGGGCCACATGTTCTAAGACAGCACCTGGCACCCCAAGATACCTCTCAGCCTTCAGTGTCTGCCAAGAGGATGGAGACTCTGAGTTGTGTACCTGTCCTTCACCACCTCAGGAACAACAAAGATGAAGGGCAGGAGCTCTCCTCTACTGAAGACAAGTGGAACCCTCAGATGAAAGATGCTGGCTGCCCCATAATAGTGATACCAGGGTAGCCTAGAGAAACAGTCCACAGAAAACAGTCCATGACCTGCACAGACATCCAGAAAGCTGCTTTCTCCCACAGGTTTGACTACCAGAGAGCAGAAGCAAGAGGGGTGAAGGAGTACAGGCCAGGCTGTCATTTCAGGGCTGCCCCGGAGAAGAGCACTAGCTAACGACTGTCTGAAAAAATGCCATTGGTGATTCCTTCCAAGTCCTTCAACCTCCTATCTCAAGCTTTAACAAAACCTGGGGATAGTAGGGCCCTGAGTGTGCCGATCCAACTTTCCTTGCCTGGCCTGCACTTGAGTCCGTGTGTCGCTGGGCCACAGCTTTCTCACTATAAACGGGATAGAAGTCAAGATTCAGTAAAATCATGTAAAGCACACAGTAGATGCTCAACTGAAGTTACTGCTTTTCGTCTCTTAAGTCTTGAGAATGATGGCAGGGAGAATCGCAAAGTAGGAATTACTGAAAAGTGTAAGCCCATGTTTGGTTCAGCTCTCTTGTTGGTCTATCTTTTTTAAGGTGTCCTGGTCAGTGAGATCCTTAATCACATGAAGATTGCAACTCAGCCATCAAACCACAGAAAACTTATCATGTACTCTGCAGTAAGTATTATCACCTCTGTTCAACGTCGGTTTGTTTAAGGATGGAGCCTCTCTTTAAGGATGGAGCCTCATTTTCTTCATCATCATTTCCCTATTGCCCAGTAGATGGTAGGCATTTTAGATATTGATCCTTCAGATCTCCTGTGTATATTATGTGTATATATGACCATCTACATGGTTGGCATTTTTAAATTTTATTTTTTTATTTTAAGTTTAAATTTTCAATACATAATTCTGGCCCTTGAGGACTTTACAATCTAGGACTGACTAGAAGACATAAACACCATTCAAAGCAAGATAGAAATGCAGTGCAAGCAAGTACTTTGGTGGCACGGAGGAAAGATGCATCACTTCTGTTCCAAACTAAAAGCAGAGCATGAACGGGATGTGGTGATGAATGGGATGCAGACAGAGAGTAACGATGTGGAAGTAAAACCACAAGTGAAGGCCATTTTTCAAGCCTCCAGGACTGGAAGGGGGGTGGAGCCATTAACAGAGGCACCTTTGGGCCAAGGGAATGTAGCCCTTTAGACGAGTGGGTTTGAAATGCCAGGGAGCATCCAGATAGAAATCTCCGGGAGGCAAAGGAAATAGAAGAGGGGGGGGTGCAATGTGAAGCTAGAGCTACATTGGATGCAGAAAGAAAAAGAGAAGTCTCGGAGAAAACTTTAGTCTTAGGAGCAGGAACCTTAAGAGACACTGTTCAGGAGATAGTGGGGGGGGGGGCGGAGGGTGGAGATTCAAGGGGTGCACTGAGCACTGAAATGGCTGTCTAGGGAATCTGCAGTGACAGGGAACCAGGACACATAGTATGGTAATTCAGCTTCCCGCCCACTTCTCGATGACAGAGGATTTCTCAGATGTGGTTTTGCTGGAGAAAGCCATGTTTTCATTCTGCAGGAAGTTGGAAGAGGTGACTGCAGATACAGGGAAGTTTGTGTATCATCCGGGGTTCTAAACGGTGTAAGAAGACAAAGAGCTCGTGGACTGAACAGAGTGTAGTGCTTCCTGGAGAGGGGCTTTCTGAAGCCGATCCGTTCTGCTAGTTTCTTTAATTTCTCATCTGGTTTCCAGTTCTAACCTGCGAGATTTCTGGCAAGTCATAAATCTGTAACTGTATTTCTTTCGCCAGTAAATCAGTTCTAGGCCCTTTTTATTTTTTAATTTTTTTCAAGATCTTATTTATTTATTCATGAGAGACACAGAGTGGCAGAGACATAGGCAGAGGGAGAAGCAGTCTCCCAATGGGGAGCCTGATGTGGGACTTGATCCTAGGACCCCGGGATCATGCCCTGAGCTGAAGGCAGGCGCTCAACAACTGAGCCACCCAGGTGCCCCTAAGCCCTTTTTAAATATGCCATATACTTTAGGCAACCAATGTTATGCCCATTTTGTAGATATAAAAGGTGAGGACTATCAAAGATTATGTAGTTAATTAGTAGCAAAACTGGGATGGAAAACAAGTCCCCTATGCCTTCCAGCCACTCTGGGATAAACAATTAACAATTATTTTTGAGCTATGCACTCTATTTCCTTACATTTTATCATCTCTAACATTTACAACCTTGTATATTTTTTCTCAGCTTTAAAGTCACAGATTATCCTAATCTGGAGAAGAAATATAATCTAGCATTAATATTTTCCAAAATCTTTTAAAATTTAACAAAAATCAATGAAATAAACTAAAACAGAGATGTTCCACTAGAGAAAAGCATAGTACAAAACCAGAACATTAGACTCAAATTTATTTCCTTCCATTTTGGGGTTATATGACAGTAAGCAAGTTACTTAATTTATCTAGGTCTGTTTTTCTTTTTATTAGAAATAATGATATATTTTTTAAAAAGCTTACCGCCTAGCACACAACAGATGCTCAATCAAAATTAATTCTTCCCCTTTCCACCATGGGGGTATGGCCAATTTAAGTGAATCAGAAACCATCATGGTTCTCTATAAGTGCTTAATACTACTAGCTATGGAATGTACATCGGAATCACTGGTAAAGATCAAAAATACTTTGTTTCAAATCCCCGCAGCATGACACTACCGTGAGTGGCCTACAGATGGCACTAGATGTTTATAATGGAATCCTTCCTCCCTATGCTTCCTGCCATATAATGGAATTATATCTTGAAAAGGGGTAAGTACCAACAAGGTGCTTTTCACAATTAAAACCACTGGACCCCAGGCTTTGCTATTGTTATTGTTATTATTAGCTTAAATATTTTCTTAAAATAATCAATTTTCAGTCAGGTACGTAAATTTAAAATCATATACTATGTAAAATAATTCACTAAGTTAAAAATATTGCTTTTCTCCACTTTCGAATTTCATGAAACAATTTTATCCAAACTCTCTGTGTGCGCCTTGTGTCTTCACCATTAGAGCCAATTTGGAGTCTCCTAAAACTGTTTTCCAAATATATTAACTAATAGGGATAATTTGGCTACTGTACAAATGAGCCTCAGATTCTCAGAGGCTGATCCCAATGGACATTTCTTTCTCACTCATCTAATACTCCAAAAGAGATGACCCTCCCTCATGGTGCCTGGGTGGCTCAGTCTGTTAAACATCCAACTTTTGATTTTGGCTCAGGTCATGATCTCAGGGTTATGACATCAAGCCCCGAGTCAAGCTCAGCACTGGGCATGGAGCCTGCTTAAGATTCTCTCTCTTCCTCTCCCTCCCCCCTAAAAAAAAAAAGAGAGAGACATCCCTAGTCATTAGGAGGTGACTCACCCATGGTGGGATTTGGGGACCCAGGGTTCCATCTTTTTAGGACCTATAGTAAGGCTTTAACTGTCACAGATACACTAGTGATTTCCTCTCTGATGGATTTGAGCCATGTAAATTGAAAGGATTCACCATTTTAAATGCCATTAAGGACATTAATGATTCAGGGGATGAAGTCAACATTAACAGAAGTTTGGAAGAAGTTGATTCCAAAGCCCACATGGATGACTTAGAGGGATTTAAGACTTCATTACTGATGTAGTAGAAATAGCAAGACAGCTAGAATTAGAAGTGGAGACTGAAGATGGGCCTGAATTGCTGCGATCTCATCATCAAAACTAATGGATGAAGAAAAAAAACTAATGGATGAGGACTTCCCTCTCATGGATGAGTAAGGAAAGTGGTTTATTGAGACAGAATCTAGTCCTGGTGAAGATGCTGGGAAGACTGTTGAAATGATGACAAAGGATTTAGATTATCACATAAACTTAGTTAATAAAGCAGTGGCAGGGTTTGAGAGGATTGACTCTAATTTTGAAAGAAATTCTGCTGTGGGTAAATTGCTATCAAAGAGCATCACATGCTATAGAGAAATCGTTTGTGAAAGGGAGAGTCAATCAATGTGGCAAAGTTCATTGTTGCCTTAGTTTAGGAAACTGCCACAGTCACACCAGACTTCAGCAACACCCCCCCTGCAGTCAGCAGCCATCAGCATCGAGGCAGGACCCTCCACCAGCAAAAAGACTACAACTCGCTGAAGGCTCAGATGATGGTTAGCATTTTTTCCAATAAAGTATTTTTTATTAAGTTAAACACATTTTTTAGACATAATGCTATTGCACACTTAATAAAATAAAATATAGTATAAACATAACTTTTATACACACTGGGAAACCAAATAATTCATGTGATTCACTTTATTGTGATATTTGCTTTATTGTGGTAGTCTGAAACCAAACCCACAATATCTCCGAGGAATGAGTGTAGTCACTTGGTCCTACCTACTGCAAGGGAGTCTGGGAAATGTAGTAGTCACTTTTCAGCCATAACTCTATTATATGGAAAGAGAATCATGAATTTTGCCATATCATCTTGAGATAAAATTTGCTAGCACTGGGTAAGTCATCCCAGGGTATAAGTAGTCATTCATATACTATTAGGAAGTTTCTAAAAATATATCTCTGTAAGTGAATATCTGCAGTTACTCTCTATAAGAGAGTATCTCTATAAGTAGTTACTACTGTTTATGTGGCTTTTAAAAGTGATTTTTTAAAGATTTATTTATCTACTTTATTTTTTTTTAATTTTTATTTATTTATGATAGTCACACACACACAGAGAGAGAGAGAGAGAGAGAGAGAGAGGCAGAGGGAGAAGCAGGCTCCATGCACCGGGAGCCCGACGTGGGATTCAATCCCGGGTCTCCAGGATCGCGCCCTGGGCCAAAGGCAGGCGCCAAACCGCCGCGCCACCCAGGGATCCCTATTTATCTACTTTAGAGAGAGAGAGAGAGAGAGAGACAGAGCTAGCATGAGCAGGAGGGGCAGGGGGAAAGGGAGAGAATCTCAAGCAGACTTCTCACCTAGCACAGAACGCAATACAGGGCTCCCTCCCATGACCCTGAGATCATGAAACCAAGAGTCTGATGCTTAACCAATTATACCACCCAAGTGCCCTTAAAAGTGATATTTTAAAAGGCTTGTTTTTAATGACACCCAACAGTTGCAGTTGTGAGGTTACTACCTCAAGAATGATCACTAAATCCTACCTGAGTTTCTCTCCTGCCTCTTTGGCAAGTGACTTCCATAAGGCCCTCATGCTAGTTTTACAACATTGGCATACACCTTGTTTTTCCAAATAAAGTATCAAATATGAGGGAGTATAAGGACTTAGGTGTACACCCACACCCTCTTTCTGAGGTGTAATCTTGACAAAATCTTGATGTATATTTAAGCACATATGTTTAATATTGCTCAGTTCCATGTTTATTGCCTGGATAAGAAGAGCAGAGATACCTTCATTCAGAAGAAAGCCTAAAAGAAATCCTGAGAGGAAAAGAGAGAATGAAGCAAACAAGAATCTTGAAGGAGAGAGAATAGGAGAAAGAAAACCCAACACCCCGTCTGTCCCCCACTTCTTACTCAAAGGCTCATCATATCACCCCCAACTCCCCTAGTCATCACCTCTCCGCTCCCTTTCAGGATAAGCATCCTGGTCCCCACCTCTTTTGCCCCTGTTTATCTAACAAACCAGCCCTCCCATTTCCACCCTCTGGGTCTGACCCACCTGCCCCAATCTCCCTATTCCCACACCTAACTTAGCTAATATCTACTCGTTCCTGTAAATTCTTCTCCTAGTCCTACAGCTGACATGTTACAGGCCAGGCGGGAAAAAAATCCAATGGCAGTTCCACAACACAAAACTAACAGCTCTGTCTTCTACCTTCCTCCACCAGGGAGTACTTCGTAGAGATGTATTACCGGAATGAGACACAGCACGAGCCATATCCTCTCACACTGCCAGGCTGCACTCCCAGCTGTCCTCTGACAGAGTTTGCTGAGCTGGTTGCCCCTGTGATCCCCCAAGACTGGTCCACGGAGTGTATGACCACAAGCAATGACCAAGGTACCAAGGATATTATGGATTAGTGTGCATGCAGAACTCTGCAAAAGGCACAATACCCTCTCTCCAGGGAGATGGTGGCTTTAAGAGTATAACTTGGCCATCACCCCCAGCTTTGAGGGAAATGGGTTTGGGATGATAATTGTATGTTTCAGGGACCCCTGATTTCAGTCAATTCCTATCTCTCCATGAGGCCCTTCCCCCACCTGCCTAAACCTTAACTTGGTAGTTTTTTTCAGTGTTAATAGAAAAGGGCCTCAAGTCAAATATAATCAGAGATAAGACTTAGATCAAAGTTTGTGGGGCTGCCATGAGCTATTATGATTAACCCCATAGAAACTTTTGGTTGTTTTTTTTTTTTAAGAACTCCTGGATATCACTTGAGTAGGATTAAATGAGGTAGTTCTTTTAGTGTCTGAAGTGAAAGGGATTTTTTTTTTTAAGATTCATTTATTTATTCATGAGAGATACAGACTGAGAAAGAGAGGCAGAGACAGGCAGAGGGAGAAGCAGGCTCCCTACAGGGAGCCCGACACAGGACTCAATCCCGGATCCCAGGATCATGACCCGAGCCTAAGGCAGGCACCCAACCCCTGAGCTACCCAGGCATCCCTAAGGTGAAAGAGATTTTAAACAAAATCTACAATCTAGAGTGAGAGCAAGGAAGGGAAGAAGTTAATTCTAGGCAAATAGGCAAAGGACCAGCTTGCCTATCAGTTCCAGCCTTCTCGCAAGGAGAGGCAGAGAAATGCATACAGTGGAGCAATCAAGAGAAATCATCTACAGTGGGAAACTGGTACTATCTTCTTATATTTATGTTAATACATATTGGGTAGAAAAGCTGAAAAGTAAATACCTCTTTGTATCCTTTAGCCCTGGAAAATCCATGTTACTTTTGAAGAAACCAAAAGCAAACTTACCAGAAAACTTTGCTGTATATAATATATATACGGCAGCTCTTGGAGTGCAGACATCAGAACAATTAAGTCATTTTATTTAGGCATACAACACATCAGAGATGCATGAGTGGTTTCTCTTGAAGATGGTAAGAGATGTTGAATCTGGAGTTGAGATAAGAGAGAAAGTATGATGACACATATCAAACTGGAACAAAATTAGAAATGTGAGAATGTTCTAAATGCCTCCAAGATCAAAACTTACCAGCATGTTGGAAGTATGGCTGTGATAGCTGCTCTGAGGACAAAAGGACTGTGTAAGGCTTTGATCCTGAGATCTTCAGAAAACCTAAGCAAGATCACATGTCCTGCTGAAACTACTCCCTATACAAGAAGAAATCACGTTCGAATGACACTCTTTAGAGTCCTATAGATTTGAGGAGTGGCAGATGCAACACATCTAGAGAACACCGTGCTACGTTACTATTACAGATAAAGATGAAATGGTTTCTAGAGATGGTTTCTACTGGATGCCAGAGTCCAGAGCAAAGCCATTCCCTCTCCTAGTGGGTCATGGGGTGACCGACAGGAGACAGTGATTCATACATTTATTTGTATTATTTTTTTTCCCAAGTAACTATTTGTCCTCAGGGCTACCATCTAATTACTCTTCCTCCCCCATGCATGTAACTTTCTTCCAGCAGTAAGCCAAATGTAAAATAGTGAATAAAGTCACTAGTAGGGAGTTCAAAAACATTACTTTTATGATGAATTTTGAAGAGTGTGCGTGTTTAATCAGAATAAAATTCCTGAAGGACAGATTTTAGGGGCTCTTTTTTTTGTTTGTTTGGGAATTTTATTATAATGTTACCAGAGGAAAAATATTCGTGTAAAGAAGAATGATTTTGACTGACTTAGATGAATATTTTACATTGAAAATGTATTTAGTTTGGACCTGACTGCTTCAGAAAAAGGCTAAGCTGATGGATGGCTCTGCTTCATCTATTAAGGTGGAACTTGCAAGAAAACATCCTTGGGAAATGTACAGTGTAGTGGGGAGGCAAAAAGATACATATTACACAGAATAACAAGGGTCATATCTTTTTTTTAAAGATTTTATTTATTTATTTATTTATTTATTCATGAGAGACATAGAGAGAAAGGCAGAGATACAGGCAGAGAGAGAAGCAGGCTCCATGCAGGGATCCCGTTGTGGGACTGGATCCCGGGACTCAAGGATCATGCCCTGGGCCAAAGGCAGGCGCTCAACCGCTGAGCCACCCAGGTGTCCCAATAAGGGTTATATCTTATGACTTCAAGGTTTCTGTGGGACAAGAGTTAACTGGATTCAGAGGGAGGGAGGCAGTAAGGAATGTCAGAAAGGGCTACCCTATAGAAGGTAACAGCTGCACCTTCTGAAATCGGTTTGGATGGGAGTTTCTAATGTATAGTACAAGATTCTAGAAAGCTATTTATCAATGTCTTTGTGTCTTGAACCTGGAAAGGGTAGGGGAGTTACTCAGCAGAAGATTTTGGGTCCAAGGAGATTACTGCAGGTTTCCCTCAAGGGGCCAATTATAATAAGATGAAATATCATCTCCACAAGAGCAAGGATTTTTATCTTTTGTGTTCTCTCTTATATCTGTCCTCAGAAATACTTGTGCCTGACATGGATTAGTGCTCAATAAATATTTGCTCAAGGAATGTTTAAATTATTTACCTTTCCTCCCTGAACTGTCTCTATCTTGATTAGCAACAATACCCAGTAACCTGGTGGTTACTTTTGATCCCATCCTCTCCTTTTTTCTCCACAGCCAATTCATCACCTCCTCTTATCAAACCTAGTGTAGAGTGTTTATAAAATTCTTTTCCTCAAAAAAAAAAAATTCTTTTCCTCAAGACACCAGCACCAGGGTGCCCGAGTGGCTTAGTTGGTAAAGTGTCTGCTTTCTGCTCAGGTCATAATCCCAGAGGCCTGGAGTTGGAGCCCCGTGTCAGGCTCCGTGCTTAGCGGAAAGTCTGCTTCTCCTTTGCCGCTTACCCCACTTGTGCTCTCACTCTTCCTTCACTCACTCTCTCAAATAAATAAAATCTTATGGGAAAAAAAGAAAGACACCAGTATCAACAATTCAATATTCAAATAGAGTGAAACGATTACAAAAGATGTTAATAAAAAGAAGATGTAGGGATTGTTGTGCTGGATCCAGCCCATACCAATCTCAAAAGTGGAATATGTACATCCCTTCCTGACTCTGAGTTCAAAGATTTGACTTTGATAGTGTGAAATTGGTCATAATGTCAAAGCAGGAGCCTTTTCACCACAGAAATCAGCCTATGCCACAAATCAATGTCTGTCTCTCTCTCTCTCTCTCAAAATAAATACACCTTTAAAAATAAATAAATAAATGTTCAATCCCTCGTACTTAGCCTAATTTCTTCATGGTGAGCCCCAGATATCAGAAACCTAGAACCCAAATGTTTGGGGCACCTGGGTGGCTCAGTGGTTGAGCATCTGTCTTCCTCAGGTTGTGATCCTGGGCTCCTGGGGATTTGAGTCTCACATCGAGCTCCCCACAGGGAGCCTGCTTCTCCCTCTGCCTATGTCTCTGCCTCTCTCTTTCTGACTCTCATGAATAAATTAAATAAAATATTTTAAAAAAAGAACCCAATCATTCAATAAGTAGGAGAGAGAAGCTATGAATGAATGAGCCTCAAATGTGACTGTGCTATAAAGACCCAGTCACAGACTACATTTACATATGTATATTCCAGTATGTCTGTGTTATTTGATCTGTTTTCAGCATAGTCATCTTGGCATTTTCTTGTTCCCCCATTGCTGGGTAGTGCCTCTGTTCAATGATACCCCTTCTAGAACCTTCCCTCCCTCAGAGAGAAGGCCAGTTACAGCACCTGTTTCTCATTCTTGTTGTCACTATCATCAGTTTCCCAGGACATGTGTCATCATTCATTAATGACATTGGGAATTTGCTTTGGTATACACCAGCTCACTCCTCACTCCCACTCCTGTCCTCGATGTAGGCAATTTTGACATCCTAATAGTGGCCCATCCCATACCCTGCCCACCACAGCAATACTCAACCCTAAATTAAAACAACCATAGTTTCTGCATTTTGGTCAGCTAAGTGGAACAGAAGCCTATTGTTATCATTTCAAATTATGAATGTTGAAATTTCTGTTCCAATCCCAGCTGGATCTTTCAACACTGCTTAGCAAATAAATGTATTCACCCTTACTAGACTCTTTTCTTATATTCTACAGGAAAGCCTTGTTATTTCCCCCAAACTTGTAATTCCATCTTGGCTTCTTTAATTCTTATGAGATGTCCTTAGGGGAGCAAGATATTCCATTGAAAAGTCTTTTAGGGGAACCCTGGGTGGCTCAGCGGTTTGGCGCCTGCCTTCAGCCCAGGACATGATCCTGCAGTCCCGGGATCGAGTCCCATATCAGGTTCCCTGCATGGAACCTGCTTCTCTCTCTGCCGGTGTCTCTGCCTCTCTCTGTGTGTGTCTCTCATGAATAAATATATAAACAAATCTTTTTAAAAAAAAGTATTTTAGGTTCTCCTGTTACTACCTCAGAATATCTTAGTAGCCTTAACCTGCCTTCCCTGTGCCCCCCGCCTCCTCACAGGAAAACATATTCTTCCCTGAGTAACCTAACTCCTTTCAACTCCTTTCCTCCTGCATATGCTCCCACTCCTCATCTCTTGGAACCTCAATGAATCTTAGCTTCATTTTCTTCCTCTGCACTGGCTCCCTTCTACTATGAACATGCCCAAATCACTCATCAAAGAACAGCTTTAAGTGCCTGCTCTCACTCTCTTCAATCCTAATTTTCTTGAACTAATCATTTGAATTCTGTATTTCTTCATCTTTCACTCCTGAGCTATTTGAAAAAATGATGTTCTTGCTTCCATCTCTCTTTGGAAATATCCCTTTTGAAAGTCATTGATGCTTAATTCAGCAACCTGTCTTCCTTTTCTTGCCAATATCATGTATCCCCATTTTACAGAGAAGAAAACCAAGGCTCAGAAAATAACATGACTTAAGTGGTAGAGTCCGGATTCAAGCCTCACATTCTCCAACA